GAGTGGGGCTAACCCGAGTGATGATAAGCCTAACAGGCAATGGGGGAGTGGGGAAGACTTCGAAGGATTTGGTGATTTTGGTAGTTCATCCTCTATCGGTAATGGCTCTAAGGACGAGCCGAGTCGAGTCGGCCAGGTGGTGGGATACTGAGCTGAGATTATCCGCCCTTATTGAAGGACAATGATATGTGACAGATCCGAACAATGTATCATATTCCGAAATCCGTTGAGAGTAGGGTGGCTCAATCATACGAGCGGGTCGACTGGGAAGCGAAGGGATGGGTGAGTGCCTATGAAAAGTGGTTCTATGATGGGCTCCGGCTTCCCATCCCTCACCTTGTATGAGAGGTCCTAGATCATTTCAAGATTGCTCCGTCCCAACTCATGCCAAATGGGTGGAGGCTACCAATGGCTTTGGAGGACCTTTATGTGCGGCATCAAGTAATGTTTGGGCTGCACGAGCTGCTTTATTCGTACTTCCTAAAGGAGAAAGATAAGGACAAATGCCGATACCTGCTAAACCTTAGGCACGAGAGGGCTCACCTTGTGACTGACCTTCGGTCGAGTGATAAGAACTGGAAGGATCAGTACTTTTTTATGCGGGGTGATGCAATCTTTGGGGAGAGAGGCCAAGGCGACATTCCATTCACTTGGCGGGCTACTGGTGAGAAACTTTGTCTTTACCTCGAATTTTGATTACTAAAATCTTATTGTGTTTCTTCTTTGTAGAGCTTGAATTTAACCGAGCCGGGCAGAGTGAAGACGGATTGGACGTGTAGATCCAGAAGGTTCTAGCCATTTCGAAAGCGCAGAGGGATTGGTGGGTGGTGTTGGAGGAAGCTAACCTCAGGATGAGTCATCTCTAGGCCGAAGTAGAAGCCATCTAGTGAGGTATCCCCTTCCTTTCGCTAAAGCAAACCTGGAGTGTGCTGCTAACTCGCTACTGCAATCATACCTTGTATGGTAAGTCGAGGCTGAATCCACTAACTGTTGGAGCGTTTGTGATTGCAAAAAAGCTAATGAAGAAGCTGATTGTCCCAAGTACGAGCGAGTTTATTGCTAGGTGTTGGGAGAAACGGAAGAGAGAGTCCTCAACCAGAGAGGAGAGGAGAGGAGAGGAGAAGAGAGCGGAGGATGTGTTGGCAACTCCACCATGTCGTCAGCCTACGGCCGGAGCTGGGTCATCCAAGACAGTAGTCTTGGATAAGGAGACCGAGAGGATCACTTTCAGCATCCCAGCTTCTGCATCAACCTACTTGGATACGGCTTCCATGAGTCAGTTGGCTGAGTCATTCCTGTTCCTAGCTGAAGAGACTCGTTTAAACCATATGGGTGCGGTCGTAGCCATAGACTAAGGGGTTTCCCGTGCTTTCCAGGTATGAGCCGGAGTTTTACTTTATTGTGTTTATTGTGGACTTATACTAATCAAGTTGTTTTGTTATGCAGGCATTCACCAGTAGCATGCACCTGAGGAAATCCATCATGTTGCAGGAGAAGAGGATACATGATGTATTGAAATCTAATGCCAATCTACGACAGAGGGAAGCGACAGTGTAGAAAGCTGAGCGGGAGAGCTAGCAGCGTTTGAAGGAGGCTGAGAGCGAATTAGAGCGGTTGAGAAGGGAGTTGGCTGAGAAGACTATGGAGGTGGAGTCCCTGAGGGAGCAGTGCCTGAGCATTAATGATGACACCATCATTAGGGCCAAGGGAAAGCTTATGCTTGAGTACAAGGCCGAGAACACCTCTAACTGGAACCCAGATGAAGACATCCAACTCATGTGGGAGATGATGGAAGAGGAGGCCGCTGGGTGTATGGAGGAGCGGATTGATGAGCAGGTGTTCGATCTTGCTAGCTAGCCAAGGCCATCGATTACTGAGGATGTGAGCGATCAGGCTGTAGGGGCGAGTGTTGGGGCTGGTGATAGGGTGATCGAATCGGAGGTTGGTGAGACAACTCACACCGATGATACTTAGCTTTTTCTTTTTTATTTTTGCTCATGTATTTTTGGGGCTTACGATGCCTTTCCATAGCATGTGTGCCTTACTTTTGTGCCTGGTACTTTAGTCGCTTGAGGCTCTTTTATATTATACTTGTGGTTCTATTTTGCCACTTTCTTTGTAGATGAATAAGTTGATTGCTTTTTCGTTTGTAGATGTATTAGGGGTTGAATCAACTGCTTGTGTTGTGATTTTGACGAGGCCAAGTAGCTGAGTCATTGTGGACAATCCAGTGGGTTGGGCATATTGGAGGTACAAGTCATTCATTCGGTCGGGGCCGACTGAAGATGTAAACTTATGAATCAGTCTGGGCCGATCGAAGGTGTAATAGTTATGAATCGGTCTGAGCCAATCGAAGGTGTAATACTTGTGAATCAGTCTAGGCTGATCGAAGGTGTAAATTTATGAATCGGTATGGGCCGATTGAAAGTGTAATACTTATGAATCGGTCTGGGCCAATCGAAGGTGAAAACTTATGAATTGGTCCAGGCTGATCGAAGGTGTAATACTTATGTATCGGTCTAGGCTAATCGAAGGTGTAATACTTATGAATCAGTTTGGGCCGATTGAAGGTGTAAAACTTTTGAATCGGTCTGTGCTGATCGAAGGTGTAATACTTATGGATCGGTGTGGGCAGATTGAAGGTGTAATACTTATGGATCAGTGTGGGCCGATCGAAGGTGTAAACTTGTGAATTGGTCTAGGCCGATTGAAGGTGTAGACAGCTCTATTGCTGAATAATGCTTTATTATATTCGGGCCATAAGGCCAATTGGCAGTGAAGGAGGTGGATAGTCCCACTCATTCTTTTTTAAATAGAAAAAAGAAAACAGACATATTGATGGAAGAGTTAAACTAAAAGTAATAACATTTGAGGTGGACTACATTCCAGCTATTGTTGATGTCTTTGCCTTCGGGAGTTTGGAGTTGGTAGGCGCCCTTCCCTACTTCCTTGGCGATCTTGTAGGGACCCTCCTAGGTGGGGCTGAGCTTGCCAGAGTTGACATCCTTAGTGTTTTGGAAGACCTTGCAGAGGACCCAGTTGCCAGTTTTGAAAGTTCTGATTTGGACGTTACGGTTGTAGTGTCGAGCGGCCTGCTATTAATACACCGCGTTGCGAATGTTCACTCGCTCGCATAATTCGTCGACGGTGTCTAGGTTGTGGCAGAGGTTCTAGCTGTTGGTTTCTCTGTCTGCCTATTGAAGTCTGGTGGAAGGGACTGATACTTCGGCTGGGATGACTACTTCAGATCCATATGCAAGAGAGAAATGAGCTTCACCCGTAGATGAACAGGCTGTCATCCGGTAGGAACAAAGGACTCCAGGTAGTTCGTCTGCCCATGCACCTTGAGCTTTCTGCAGACGTTTCTTTAAAGTCTGCATCATATTTTGGTTTGATGATTCGGCCTACCTGATAACTCTAGCTTATATAGTATCTTCTTGAATGGGTAAGAGGTGAGTACGACTATGAAATGACATTGAAAGTATGGCCTGAGCTTCCTAGAGGCATTGACGAGGGCTAATGCCAGTTTCTTCAGTTGACTGTATCGCGTCTCCGCGTTGAGGAGTGACTTACTTACATAGTAGACCGGTAGTTGCTTTGTATCATCCTCCCGAACTAACACTGCCCAAATTGCTGTCTCTCAAACCGCCAGATAGGTGTAAAGTTTTTCCCTATCTTTGGGCTTGGAGAGGAGTGGAAGGGAGGTTAGGTATCTCTTTAGCTGTTGCAAGGCCTCTTCACAGGAGGTGGTCCATTCAAATTTCTTAGATTTCTTGAGCGTGTGGAAGAAATTATGGCACTTGTCGACGGATTTGGAGATGAAACAGCTCAAGGCGACCACTCGTCTTGCCAGGCACTAGACATATCTTTGATACAACATGGTGATGGTATGTTGAGGATTGCTCAGATTTGATGGGGGTTGGCTTCTATCCCACGCTAAGTTACCATGTATCCTAGGAATTTTCCAGATGAAACCCCGAACGAGCATTTGGCCGGATTCAGCTTCATGTTATATTTTCTTAGGATGGTGAATGTTTGGCTAAGGTGGTCAAGGTGCTGTTTGGCCATGAGGGACTTGACGAGCATGTCGTCAATGTACACTTCCATGGTGTCCCCAAGGTGTTCAGCGAACATCCTATTGACTAGCCACTGATAGATAGCCCCGACATTCTTGAGACTAAACAGCATCACCTTGTAGCAGTAGATCCTTCTCTTTGTAATAAAGGTTATTTTTCCCTAGTCGTTTGGGTGCATCAAAATCTGATTGTACCCTGAGAAGATATCCATGAAGCTTAGGAGTTCGTGGCCTACTGTGGCATCGACTATCATGTTGATATGCGGAAGCGGGAAGGAGTCTTTGGGGGGCATGCTTTGTTTAAATCCGTGAAGTCTATGCAAATCCTCCATTTTCTGTTCTTTTTCTTCACCACTACCATGTTTGCCAGCCAGTCGAGATAGTGGACTTCTCTAATCAGGCCATTATTCAGTAATTTGTCGACCTCCTCATTGACGATCTGGTTGCATTCTGGTGCAAATTTCCTAGCCTATGCTTCACTAGGGGGTGATCCGGGTCTACTTTGAGGTGGTGAACAATTGTCTTTGGGCTGACTCCTGTCATGTCAGTGTGGAACCAAGCGAAGCAGTCCTGGTTTTGTTTGAGGAATTCTATGAGTCTTTCTCTTATTTTAGGCCCGAGGCGTGAGCATATCTGGGTCTTCCTTTCGGGGTCGTCCAGGTGTATCTGTACTTCATCCAACTCCTCCATAGATGGTTGATCTAGCTTGGTCGGAATGGTTGGATGAGACTATAGTTGCTATGAAGCGTGACCTTTGCTTTTGAAGGCGTTTTTGTAGCAATCTCTGGACGCCTTGGGGTCGTTGTTGATTTCCCTTACTCCTTATCTCGTTGGAAACCTGATGGTTTGATGGAAGGAAGATGAAACAGCTCGCATGTCGTGAATCTAGGGTTGGCCAAAGATGACATTGTATGGTGAAGGAATCTCAAACTAGAAAGATGGTTTGCTTATTGACTCCGCTGGTGTAGATAGGTAGAGCGACTTCTCCTATGGTGTACTTCTGCTGGGAACTGAACCCTACCAGTATAGCTGGTTGTCTGCTAATGTTTGTTTCATCCAGTTCCATGGCCTTCACTGCTTCAAGGAAGAGAATGTTTGCTAAGGATCCCCCGTCTATGAATACTCTCTTGACCAGGATGTTTGCGATTTGGAGGGAGATGACTAGAGAGTCATGATGAGGGATGGCTAAGGTGACTGTCTCATCATCTTTGAATTGGATTACCTGATTGGTGTGCAGCTGCGAAGGTAAATGGATGGATTGGACTTCTAGTTGGCTCGGGCATAGCGTTTAGCTGAGGAGTAGCTTATCCCACTGATCTCCAACCCACCAGAGATCATGGAGCAGAAATCCTTTGGTGTAGGTTCTCGCAGGAGGGGGAGGGGAGGGGAGGGGAGGGGGGGGGGGGGGGGGGGGGGGGGGGGGGGGGGGGGGGGGGGATGGGGAGATGCTTTCTTTAAGCTTTTCTGGCTGATTTTACTTTTCCCTTTATCCGTCAACAGATCTCTAAGAGGTCCCCTTTTCAATAGTGTGGCGACTTCTAACCGTAGGGCAATGCAGTCTGCGGTGTTATGACCATGGTCGCCATGGAATTCGCACCACTTTGTCATGTCCCTCCTTGCTTTGGGATTGAGCTTGTTTGGCCACTTAACGGTGGGTCCCATTCCTTTTATTATTGCCACGACCTGGGCTGGTTTGACATTGAGGTTGTACTCCAGAACTTTGTATTGGCTCGACCCGGATGGTCTATTGTCAGTTTTAATTAGTGGGCGGTCGTATAGTCTCTTAACCTTGTTCAGATTGTGTGGAGGGGGTTGGTAATGGGGCTCAAACGATCTGGACTCTGACCTTCTATCATTTTGCTTTTGGGGACGGTCATCGTACCTGGCATGCCTTATCCGGTTCATTTCATTTTCCTCATACCTTATTTGAATTACAGCTTTGGCTAAGACGTCTTCCATCATGGTGCAACCGAGTTTCGTCAGGTCTTTGTATAGTGCTCCATCTGGAAGGAGACCCTTTCTGAAAGTGTCTAATGGTGTCTCTGGATTATAGGAGGGGATGGAGATTTTTTCTTTGTTGAACCTACTGATGTATTCTCTAAGTGGCTCCCCCTTCTTCTGATAGACTTTGTACAGATCAGTCGATAGTTTCTCGAGTTTCTTGCTACTGGCGAATTGTTCAACGAAGGTGTCGGTGAGCTGGGCGAAGGAGTTGATTGAGCAGTTTGGGAGGTTAGTGTACAACTGAAGAGCTGGGCTGGAAAGGCTTAAACCGAAGCTTTTACACATGTAGGCTTCCCTCAATGTTCGGGGTATCGACACAGCAAACATCCACTGCTTGTAGAAGGCTATGTGGTTGTCTAGGTCAGTTGTTCCATCATAGGGCTTCATGATGGGAATGGTGAACTTGTGTGGTATCTCAACTAGCGCTATTGCGTCTACAAAGGGTGAATCGGTATAACAGTGAGGTTGGCTCTTTTTTGTTGGGATTGGCATTCCGAGTATACGCCTCATCATTGCCTCTATGTCAGCCAGTCTCTTGGTCAATATCTATTCCATGGGAGATACGGATACCACTAGGTCGTCCTGGTTAACTTGATTGGACATGTGGTTCGCGCCTGATGCGTTTCGGTGGGTCAATCTGCATGGTGTAGTCTGATAGATCACTCTGTTATGTGTCGCTTGGTAGCTTGGATCCCCATTACTTCCCTCTGGTTGGATGACTCCCCTCGTGACTGATCAGGTGTTTCATCCCACATGGATTTTAAGGGGTGTTATTCGGGATTCGTTCAGCCCATTGGGATGGATGGACGAACTCGAGCAGGGTAGTTTGAAGGAGTAGGGGACCGCTCGACCTGCGAGGATGAGCCGAGCCGAGCCAAGTGGTGTTTGGGTAGGGATGACTGTCTGGAGGTGGGATGGGATGGCGAGGACGGGTGGTTCTTGTTGTGGTAGGCTTTCTGTCACTTGGACATCTTGATCTCGTACTTGAAGTGGATCGATCAAGAATGGCTCTATCGGCGGCCCCCATTCCCTATCAGTCAGGGCTAAATTGTCAACTAATGACGAACATAGCCGGCGTAACCTCGTATCCGAGATTACGGGTCTATGGTCTGGATGACTATCTGGAGGTGGGATGGGATGGCGAGGACGGGTGGTTCTTGTTGTGGTAGGCTTTCTGTCACTTGGACGCCATGATCTCGTACCTGAAGTGGATCGATCAAAAGTGGCTCTATTGGTGGCCCTCATTCCCTATCAGTCAAGGCTGAATCGTCAACTAATGATGAACATAGCTAGCGTGACCTCGTATCCGAGATTATGGGTCTATGGTCTGGAGTCTGGAGTCTGGAGAGGTTGCATAGATGGAGCCGAGGCGCGAAACCGATTGGGATGTACCTAGCAAGGCAAAAGCTCAAGATCATAAAATCGGCTTACCCTCTCTTTTAGAGATTGGTTCTCGACCCTGATAAAGGCATTTTCAGTTCGGATGGCAGTGTTTTCAGCTTCCAGTGCAGCCACCTTGTTTAAATGTTGTTGCATGAGGGTGATCAGAGCCTCTAGTTTGGCCTCGAGGCCAGGATTAGTGTTATCAGAATTGTCAGCCATGGAGAGTTTCTTCGCGTAGCAGGGTTTGTGAGACGAATGATTTCTAGAGGCTTCACGGTGGGCGCCAAACTGTAGATGCAAAAATCTACCGTTACGGAAAGAGGGACTGATCTTGTGAGATTGAGGCCACTAGCGATATGTTGCACCTGCACACGTGAGAGAACAAGCGTGAAGCAGACGGAAAACACCAGGGTGGTGTTTGCCGTAGGTACTCTGATGCTCAAGTTAGCAAGGCTAAGCGAGACTAGTTTAGTGAGGGTTAGGGAAAGGAAAAGTTACTGGAAGTCTAGTTAGGGACTGTGACTATAGCTATAATGCAAAGTTCTCAAGTGGGAACTCCAGGGTCTGAAGGTGTAATGTCTTTCTCCTTTGTGAGAGGGCTGGCCTCTATTTAAATAGTGACTGTATGGTCTTCAAATCATTGTGGGACTGGGAGTCCTTGTAGTGGTAATCCTCTCAAAGGGTGTAGCCTTTGGCTCCCTTATCTCAGCAGGAAAGGGAGTTTGAACGTGCCTCGGAGACAGACCTTAGAGGAGTTAGGATAGTAATTGACTTCCTTAGCAGAGTTCAAGTAGGATTGTAGTTCGTAGGCAACTGTGGGTTCCAAGTTGATTGGAAGTCTAGAAGGTGTTCTAGGGTCGGAAAGCCTGGATCCGGATGGTGAGGACTGGGAAGGAGCGCCAGACGGGCCTCATTTGTAGAACTCCCAGTTGGGCCCCATCGGAATTGGGCCTTAGCTTTTTAGCTTTGTTGAAGATGTCTTCGTCTTTGGGCCTACCTGGGCCAAGACATTTTTTGGCCCTAACAAGATTCAAGAAAAATCAAGAAAATGTAACAAAAAACAGAGGAAAGCAAAAGAGAAAAGTTCTGGAATTTCGGTAAAGTTCTTTCTTAATTGAACAAAACAAAAGGCGTGCGACTTTATACAAACGTTAGTCAAAACGCTGTCGTTTACAAGATACTTGTTACAGTTATAAACTAACCCACTACATTCGTTATAGTTACAAACTAACCCAGTTCTCTCAATATCTTCCCTTAATCACAACATCTTTTCTTTACTTCATTATCTCTTGTTCTTCACTCTTCAGTATCTTCCCTTGAACATAGCATCTTTTTCTTTTTCTTTCTTCATTCTTCAAATCAACAAGTAAAAAAAAAAAAAAAAAAAAAAAAATCAACTCCTCAACTGGGAATACTGACATATCACTTCAACTATTTCAATAAGCTCAACATAACAATATCATTATTCCAGCAGACACATCAAGTTGTAAATAGAAGCAATTCACAAGCTCAGCCTAACACGTATCATTATGCCAGCAGACTCAGCAGGTTGTAAACAGAAGCAATCCATAAGCTCAGCCCAACACATATCATTATGCCAACAGACTCAGCAAGTTGTAAAAATATCACGTTATGATGATGTAAAAAAAAAAAAAAAACAGTTTATGCTAATGATTACTTCATATCAAACCATATAGTTGCTCATAAGGACAACTAGTTGCCTGTTGGACTCATAGTCTCTATAGGCAGATCAGAGACAACATTCAGTTTGGCTCTTAGCAAACCAAACCTATTTTCAGACAAGGCCTTGGTTAGAATATTAGCTTTTTGATATTTTGAGGCAATATATTGGACAGCTAACTGCTTTCTAGCAACCAATTCTCGCATATAATGAACGTCAATTTAAATATGCTTGGTCCATGCATGAAACATAGGGTTCGAAGAGAGTGCACCAGCACTCGTGTTATCATACCAAATAACAGGAACACCCATGATATCAATGCCAAGCTCTTTAAACAAATGTTGGACCAATGTTACTTCAGTGGCAGTTTGACTTAAGGCTCGATGCTCAGCTTTTGTTAAAGATAAGGACACAACCTTCTGTTTATGTGAACTCCATTAGATTAAATTTCCCCCAAGAAACACCGTATAGCCACTGGTTGACCCCATCTCATTAACATCACTCGCTCAATCCGCATTAGCATAAGCCTCTAAATTGAAATCTGTGATACTGTGAAACATAAGACCATATGAAAGTGTTCCTTTGATATACCTCAGAATTTGTTTACAAGTAGTCCAATGTGCCTCTGATGGACTCTATAAAAAAAACTCTATAAAAACAGACTCAATTTGTTCACCATAAATGCCAAATCTAGTCTGGATAAGATGAGGTATTGTAAACTGCCAATGATGCTTCTATATAGTGAAGGGTTTTCAAACAACTCACCACCCTCATTGATAAGTTTAAAATCAGTTGCCATTGGGGTAATACATGAATTGGACTCCTCTATTCTAACCTTGGTTAATAGATCTTGTGCATACTTAGATTGAGTCAATAACAGTCCAGAACTGTTTCTCTAAGCTTCAAAACCAAGAAAATAGTGAACTTCACCCAAAGTTTTTAATGCAAATTGACCATTTAAATCCTTAACAAGCTGATCTATGAGCTACACATCATTTCTAGTTAGCAAAATGTCATTAAAATAGACAAGTAAAAACATAACCCGAGAATCTTTATTATAAAAGAATAAGCTCACATCAGATGTAGAATTCACAAAACCCCAGGCTACCAAAGCACTCTGCAATTTATCAAACCAGACCCTGGGGCCCTGTTTAAGTCCATACAAGGCTTTCCTAAGTTTGCAAACATGTTATGTTTGAGAGAAGTCAGAAAAACCTGTAGGTGGCATCATGTAAACCTTTTTGGACAGATCACCATTCAAAAACGCATTATTTACATCAAGCTGTTGGATCCCCCAATTGTGATAGATTGCTATGGAAAACATGATCTTGATTGTTGCTGCCTTTACTACCGGGGAGACTGTATCGAAATAATCCAAGCCATGGGTTTGTTGTAACCCCTTGGCAACCAATTGAGCCTTGTATTTTTGCAAGGACCCATCAGCATTTAGTTTTGTTTTGAACACCTATTTATTGCCAACAACATGCATACCCTCTCCATATGGCACCAATTCCCAAGTGTTGTTATGCATAAGAGTAGTATATTCAACATCCATGACCTGTTTCCATTTTGGAACTTCCAAAGCTTCTTTGGCAAATGTGGGTTGTTTGAGAATTGTATGTTGAGAAAGAAAAGCTTTGGCTGAGGATTTGGTTTTGGACCTCGTAGCCATAGGATGAGTATTAGTAGGCATAATGGAAAAGACAACTAGTGCAGAAAAAGAAAGGACAACTTTTAATTGAATTTCAAAAGATGAAGTTGTTGGCTGAGGAAGTAATCTACTAGCACCTATTGGGTGGGAAAGGGATTGAGGTGGATGTTAGTAAACAGTCCCATACACACAGCAGAAACAAAAACAAATAATTCAGGGATCGTTTACATGAGCCAAGATCAAGGGTATAATTTTACAATTCATATTAAATAAAATCTGCAGAAAAATAAATCTGAGTTTAAAGAAAAACAAACGCACGTTGGAGGCTCCTCCAAATTTGTCAACGAATGTTTTGCTACTGATCCAAGTGTAGGATCGAACCCACGTAGTCCACATGAAGACAATCTCAAAAGAATCAAAGAGGGATTTGCTAGATCTTCTTTGGCTTCAAGATTAAGAAGAAAGCAAATCAATTGAATTGATTTTAGGCTAAAAAGTGTTACTGCCGTGGGAGTGAAAGAGAGGGGCTATGTGTTTTTCAAAGAAAAATTCTATATCATTTAATTAACACAATTTTCTTTTTATAGTACATCAATTTACCCTAATCCCATATGGAATAGGCTTGGGCTCCAACCCAAACGCCCCATGTTTCCAAACACTCCCAATTTGATATTTTATTTTTTCCATTATTATCTCAATTAAAATCAATTAATATATATTAACATTTAACAATAATGATAATATATTTAAATATGTGCGAACACACATTTAAACGTAATTTTACCTATTTAATTTTTC